TAAATCCAGCACTTTGAAAGGCTGAGGCCACTTGAGGTCAGAAGTTCAAGATCCGTCTGGCCATCATGGTGAAACCCGTCTCAACTCAAAATACAAAAATAAGCTGGGGATGATGGCAGGTGCCTATAATCCCAGCTACTTGAGAGGCTGAGGCAGGAGAATCGTTTGAACGAGGGAGGCAGAAGTTGCAGTGAGCCAAGATAGCACCACTGCACTTCATCATGGGAGACAGAGCAAGACTGTCTAAAATTAAAACAAAAAACCTTCATTCACTGCGGACGTGGCAACCCATTTTCTCCCGGACTCCTGACTGCACAGAGAGCTCTTCTCTTTCTTTTGCCCATTACACTTCCGCTCTTAATTTCACTCTGGAGTGTCTGCATTCAGTTTTCTGTGGCCTTGGGACAATGAACTTGAGGTTTTACTCCATACAACAACACTGCTTCACAAATACAACTTCAAAACCCATTTTTGGCTGGACACGGTGGCTCATGCCTGTAATCTCAGCACTTTGGGAGGCAAATGGGGGCAGATCACCTGAGTCAGGAGTTTGACACCAGCCTGACCAACATGGAGAAACTCTGCCTCTACTGAAAATACAGAATTAGCTGGGCATTGTGAGGTGCTGGTTTTCAAAGGCAGGGACAAATTCAGGAAAGCAGAAGCTACAGGTAAAATCGTGAAGCTGGCCAGACATGGTGGCTCATGCCTGTAATCCCAGCACTTTGGGAGGCCCAGGTGGGAGGATCCCTTGGGGCCAGGAGTTCCAGACCAGGCTGGGCAACAAAGCAAGACCCCCGTCTCTACAAAAAACTACAAAAATTGGCCGGGCATGGTGCTGCTTACCTGTAGTCCCAGTTGCTTGGGAGGCTGAGGTGGGAGGATTGCTAGAGCCCAGGAATTGGAGGCTGCAGTGAGCTATGATCGTGCTAAAAAGAAGGATATCAGAAAAATGTTGGATGGCTGGTTGGGTGCAATGGCTCTCGCCTGTAATCCCAGCACTTTGGGAGGCCAAGGTGGGAGGAGCACCTGAGGTCAGGAGTTTGAGTCAAGCCTGGCCAATATGGTCAAACCTCGTCTCTACTGAAAATACAAAAATTATCTAGGCGTGGTGGTGTGTGCCTATACTCCCCAGCTACTCAGGAGGCTGAGTCAGGAGAATTGCCTGAATCTGGGAAATGGACATAGCAGTGAGCTGAGATGGTATCACTGCTCTCCAGCCTGGGCAATAGAGCAAGGCTCCATCTCAAAAAAAAAAAAAGGAAAGAAAAATGTTGGATAGCATCTACATCTTTGAAAAAGGAACAGATCAGCAGGCTGATGAATAAGATCTAAGAGTCTATGAATAAGACCTACAGAAATAAGAAGATAGATGCCAAATGATTCGAGACTTCTTCATGATATTTTTTAAACGCAATAAAATACGTCTCGTGTTGACCAAAAGGTACAATGTTAGAGTTAGATGGGAGGAGCGGGTTTTTGAGATCTATTGCCTAGCAAGAGTATTATTCATTAGGAACCATAGTTACTAATAATGTATATTTCAAAATTACTTAAAAAGTAGATTTTGGTTGAGCCCAGTGCCTCACGCCTGTAATCTCAACTGTTTGAGAGGCTGAGGAGGGCAGATCACTTGAGGCTAGGAGTTTGAGACTAGCCTGGCCAACATGGCAAAACCCCTGTCTCTGTAAAATTACAAAAGTGGCTGGGTATGGTGTCTCACGCCTGTAATCCCAGGACTTTGGGAGTCCAAGGCGGGTGGATCACGAAGTCAGGAGGTTGAGACCAGCCTGGCCAGCTTGGTGAAACCCATCTCTACTAAAAATACAAAAAAAAAAAAAAAAAAAAAAATTAGCTGAGCATAGTGGTGCGTTCCTGTAATCCCAGCTACTCAGGAGGCTGAGGCAGAAGAATCACCTGAACCCAGGAGGTGAAGGCTGCAGTGAGCAGAGGTCTCACCATTGCACCCCAGCTTGGATGACAGAGTGAGAATCCTTCTCAATTAAAAAAAAAATAGTTAGCCAGGTATGGTGGTGGTTACCTGTAGTCCCATCTACTCGGGAGGCTCGCTTGAGCCTGGGAGTTGAGGCTGCTGTGAGCTGTGATTGTGCCACTGCACTCCAACCTGGGCAACAAAGCAAGACTGTCTAAAGAAGTACATTTGGGGCCAGGCACAGTGGCTTAGTGGCTTACGCTGTAAACTTAGCACTTTGGGAGGCCGAGGCTGGTGGATTACCAGGTCAGGAGATCAAGACCATTGTGGCTAACATGGTGAAACCCCATCTCTACTAAAAATACAAAAGATTAGTTGGGCATGGTGGCACATGCCTGTATTCCCAGCTACTCAGGAGGCTGAGGCAGGTGAATCAGTTGAACCTGGGAAGCAGAGGTTGCAGTGAGCTGAGATTGTGCCGTTGCATTCCAGCCTGGGCGAGAAAGCCACACTCAATCTCAAAAAAAAAAAGGTACATTTTATTTTATTTTATATTTTGTATTTTTTTGAGACAGAGTTGCCCTCTGTTGCTGAGGCTGCAATGCAATGGCAAAATCTCGGCTCACTGCAACCTCTGCCTCTATGGTTCAAGTGATTTTCCTGCCTCAGCCTCCTGAGTAGCTAGGATTATAGGTGTGCGCCACCTTGCCCAGCTGATTTTTGTATTTTTAGAAGTGGGATTTCACTATGTTGGCCCAGCTGGTCTTGAACCCAGCCTCAGGTGATTCGCCTGCATCAGCCTCCTAAACTATTGTCATTACAGGCTTAAGCCACTGTGACTGGCAAAAAGTAGACTTTAAATGTTCTCATGACAGAAAAATGGTACATTTGTGAGATGGTGGATATGTTAATTACCTTCATATAATCATTCCACAATATATACATAGATCAAAATGTCACACTAAGCCCCACAAACATACACAATTATTATATCTGTTAAAATAATTAAATTTATCTCTTCAAAAACATTAATAAGAAGTCCCAGCTGGGCTTGGTGGCTCACGCCTGTTATTCCAATACTTTGGGAGACTGAGGTGAGCGGATCACAAGATCAGGAGTTCAAGACATGCTAACCAACATGGTGAAACCTTGTCTCTACTAAAAATACAAAAAAAATTAGCCAGGCATGGTCGTATGCACCTGTAGATCCCAGCTACTCAGGAGACTGAGGCAGGAGAATTCCCTGAACCCAGGAGGCAGAGGTTGCAGTGAGCCAAGATCACGCCACTGTACTCCAGCTTGGACATCAGAGTGAGACTCCATCCAAAGAAATATAAAAAAAAATCTCAAACTTGTAATTTTACCTCTTGGAGCCTCAACTTCTCAAATTTGAGATGAGGTTTTACCATGTGGGTCAGGCCAGTCTTGAAGTCATGACCTTGGTGATCCACCTGCCTTGGCCTCCCAAAATGCTGGGACTTCAGGACTGAGCCATTGCTGCCGGCTATCCATCACTTAGGCCTTTGCCTAGCTCAGGGACTCTGCATTTTTCCAGCAGAGGAAGCAATCAGATATACACTTGTCTCAGATGAGCAGAAGGATGACTTAGAGTTCAGTAAGTTCTTGGTGCCCACAAGGAATTTCCTAGCAGGCAAATTGGGTGAGAGACACATAGCTCTTTTTTGTTTTGTTTTTTTTTTTTTTGAGTTGGAGTCCCACTCTGTTGATTAGGCTGCAGTGCAGCGGCACTATCTTGGCTCACTGCAACCTCTGCCTCCTGGGTTGAAGCAATTCTCTTGTCTCAGCCTCCCAAGTAGCTGGGATCACAGGAAACTGCCACCATGCCCAGCTAATTTTTTGTACTTTTAGTAGAGACGGGGTTTCACCATGTGGACCAGGCTGGTCTTGAACTCCTGCCCTCAGGTGATCCATCTGCTTTGGCCTCCCAAAGTGATGGGATTACAGGTGTGAGCCGCTACAGCCAGAACTTACAATTTCCCAGGATGGTCTCTGAATGCCATGAAACTTTTATTTGTTGTTAAAAAAATTTTTTTGACACAGGGTCTCACTCTGTTGCTCAGGCTAAAGTGCTGTGGCACAATCATAGCTCACTGTAGCCTCTAACTCCTGGGCTCAAGCAATCCTCCTGCCTCAGTCTCCCAAGTAGCTGGAACACAGGTGCCAGCCACCGCACCTGGCTAATTTGTTTATTTTTTATTTTTTTAAATATAGATGGGGTCTTGCTCTGTTGCCCACACTGGTTTTGAACTCCTGGCAAGCAATCTTCCTCCCTTGGCCAACCAAAGTGCTGGAATTACAAGCATAAACCACTGTGCACAGCCGAGATTTTTTTGACTTAGTCTTTTTGTATATATGATATTTTATTCATAGAATCCATAAATGGTAGAGAAATTTCTGAGTTGAAGGAAATATATATGATACAAAACTTGATATATAGACTAGAGTTTCATAGCTCAACTGGAGGGACTAGTTTTAGGTAATCCATGGACTCCCTGAAATTGGGGACACCATTGGAAATATGTGTGAGCTCATGGACAGTTTCCTTTGATTTTCAGTCCTCAGAATGTCTCTTGGACTCAAAATGCCTTAGGGCAGAAGACGCATGTACCCCTAGTACAGAATCTTGGACAGTGAATGTCAGGAAACATTCAGCAGAAAAGCTTTGCCAAATGGAGTGCTTTGATGTAACTTTTTCATCAAGTCAATGTACCTGGGATCTCTTGTACATGTGAATCTCACTCTTGTAAGGTTTCATCGTTTCTGCTTTCCCTACTTTTCTTTGCCACCCTGCTCCCTCTCCCACCAGACAGGACTCTGAAATGCGCATGTCCAGATGAGACCCCAGCATGATTCAGCCTTTGATTTGAGAGGATACAGCCTCTGCTGGGACAGGAAACAAGGGTTGCGGAGTCCCTGAAGATGCTTTAGGACAATGGTCTGAGGTTGGGACGGTGGCAGGAGATTCACTTCGGGTCTCCAGGACAGGAGCTCAGGCTGGCAGTTACATGTGTTTTTCTTCAAACTGGTTGCCAGGTTGGAATGACCGATGACATCAGAGAGTCCAGCCTTCCTGATTGGAGGGACTGAACTCCGTGGGCACTTTGAAACTCAGGTGGACAACAGTATCTTCTCAGAGCTGTTCTCCACTCCTGACTTCTTCCCAGCCTTGAGAATAGATAACACATTCTTCTGGGTCCTAGTGGAGAGTGGAAGAAGGCTTTGGCCACAACAGGAACTAGGTTCCCTGGGAGGGAACAGAGTTTGGGGGAGATCGTGGCCAGCCATCAATGGCAACCCCAGGTTGAGGAGTAGAGCCCCCAGCCTAGCACCTCGGGGTACTCCCTCCCTGAGGTGGTGGACGATGAAGTTCTGGGACTGTCAGGTGAGGGGACTAGAGGAAGAAGAGATGAGAGAGGATTGACTAACAACAGGGGTAGGGGGTGGGTGGCTCATGCCTGTAATCCCAGCACTTTGGGAGGCTGAGGTGGTCAGATCACCTGAGGTCAGGAGTTTGAGATAGTCTGCCCAACATGGTGAAACCCCATCTCTACTAAAAAAACAAAAATTAGCTGGGTGGTAGTGGTATGTGCCTATAACCCCAGCTACTTGGGATACTGAGGCAGGAAAATTGCTTAAGCCTGAGAGGCGAAGGTTGCAGTGAGCCGAGATCCTGCCATTGCACTGCAGTCTGGGTGAGAGAGTGAGACCCTCTCTCAAAAAAAAAAAAAAAAAAAAAAGATAAAGCAAGGGCCCAGAAGTCAGGAAGGAGCACTTGAGGAGGGTATATGAGAAGAAAGGAGGGACTCGGGCCAGGCGCAGTGGCTCACACTTATAATCCCAACACTTTGGGAGGCCGAGGCAGATCACTTGAGGCCAGGAGTTTGAGACCAGCCTGGCCAACACGGTGAAACCCCATCTCTACTAAAAATACAAGAATGAGCTGGACATTATGGCAGGCACCTATAATCCTACAACTTGGGGGGCTGAGGCAGAAGAATCACTGGAACCCGGGAGATGGAGGTTGGGATGCAGTGATACGAGATCATACCACTACACTCCAGCCTAGGCAACAAAGCAAGATTCTGTCTTAAAAAAGATAAAAAGGGGGAATGCAGAGAGCCAGGAACCAGAAAAAGAAATGAGACCAACCCAGTCATCAGGAAGGAGCACTGAGGGAGTGTGTGGGGGAAGCAAGGAGGGACTCAGGCCAGGTGCAGTGGCTCACACCTCCAACCCCAGGTCTTTGGGAGGCCAAGGCAGGAGGGTCACCTGAGGGCCAGGAGTATGAGACCAGCCTGGCCAACGTGGTGAAACCTTGTCTCTAAAGTACAACAATGAGCTGGGTGTTATGGTGGGCACCTGTAATCCCTGCTACTTGGGAGGTTGAGGCAGGAAAATCACTAGAACTTGGGAGGTGGAGGTTGCAGTGATAGGAGATTGCACTACACTCCAGCCTGGGCGACAAAGTGAAAAAAAAAAAAAAATGAGACTCAGAGAGCCGGGACCAGAAAAGGAAATGATGCATTCTGTGGACAGAGAGATGGAAGAATGGGGAGGAGATGGAGAGGCACATGGGGGTTTACAAAGGAGAAAGACGGAAAGATGGCTTGCAGAAGCCAACAGTCTGCGGGGCTGGGGAGGATGGAGAGTGGTTTGGGGTTTGGTTTCAGGGTTTAAGGTGATCAGTTGCAGAAGCATTACATGGTGGCCTGTTCTTTTTTACTCAACCCCTTGGGTAGATCGCAACCCCCCACTTAGGTTTCTGTACTGGAAACGGAAGAGGGAGTGGTCGGACAAATCAGAGGAGGAGCCAGAGAAGGTGCTCGTCCCTGAGCCTGAGGAGACCTGGGTGGTGGAGACCCTGTGTGGTCTCAAGGTGAAGCTGAAGCGACGGCTAGTGTCGCCCATGCTCCCTGAGCACCACGAGGTCTTCAACAGGCTGCTTGGTAGGAGGACACCCCAGAGAGCACCTCCAATCCTGTTCTTTTCAAAAAGAGGAAAGTTCCCATAACCATACTTTTCCCATGAGAAGAATGTGCCCCCCTAGTGGGTGAGCTCTCCATGCAGGAGGACTCAGAAGTGATCACTCATGAGGGATGCTTAGGAGGCCATAGAGGATTCAGCTAGATTTGATGAAGTTCTGTGATCGGGATAAGAAAGCTTGGTTTCAGGCCAGGCGCCGTGGCTTATGCCCGAGATCCCAGCACTTTAGGAGGCTGAGGCAAGAGGATTGCTTGAACTCAGGACTTTGAGGCTGCAGTGAGCTATGATTGTACCACCGCACTCCAGCCTGGATGACAGAGCAAAACCCTGTCTCAGAAGAAAAACCAAGGCCAGGCATAGTAGATCATGCCTATAATCTGAGCACTTTGGGAGGCCGAGGTGGGTGAATCACCTGCGGTCAGAAGTTTGAGACCAGCCTGACCAACATAGTGAAACCCTGTGTCTACTAAAAATGCAAAAAATACTGGGAGTGGCTGTGCATGCCTGTAATCCCCGCTACTCAGGAGGCTGAGACAGGAGAATTGCTTGAACTTGGGAGGTGGAGGTTGCAGGTGAGCTGAGATCATGCCATTGCATTCCAGCCTGGGCAACAGAGTGAGACTCCATCTCCAATCAATCAGTCAATTGAAATAAAAACAAAATCAAAGAAAGAGGTTTCAGCTGTGCCCTCTGAAACTTAATGTTTCTTGCTGACTTTGTTTTTTTTTTTTTTGAGACAAAGTTTTTTCCTGTTGTCCAGGCTGGAGTGCAATGGCACAATCTCGGCTCACTGCAGCCTCCTCCACCTCCCGAGTTCAAGCGATTCTCCTGCCCCAGCCTCCCGAATAGCTGGGATTGAAGCCACATACCACCACACCATGCTAATTTTTTGTATCTTTAGTAGAGATGGGGTTTCACCATGTTGGCCAGGCTGGTCCCAAACTCCTGACCTTGTAATTTACCCATCTCGGCCTCCCAAAGTGCTGGGATTACCGTCGTAAGTCAATGTGCCCTGCCTCTGCTGACTTTTCTAAACTTAACTGTCTCCATCCCTAGAGGGAGATACCAAAGCCATGGTCACACCCTGATGTGACCGTCTCATGAGGAAATGACTGGAATTACTTTATGACTCTGCAGTTGTCCCTGTGTGTCTGCAAGGAGGGCATCCTGGCTTCTTCCCAGCTCTCCGTCCTATAGATTCCCACACCCAGGGCCTCCTTCAGCCACTTCTCAGGGTAGCCTCAGAGCGGGAGCTCTCCCTTGCCCAGTGAAAGTCATTCTTTCCTGTCCTATCCACCTCGCCCAAGCCACCATCCTGAGGCTTTCCCCAGGGAGGCGCACTTCTCCTCGCTGTCCTGTTGCTCCCAGGGAAACTGTTCTGCTTCTCACACTAGCATGCTCTCTAATCACAGAGGATCCTGTCGTTAAAAGATTCCTGGCCTGGGACAAAGATCTGAGGGTGTCGGACAAGGTAAGGTTGTTCTCCAGGTAACTGTGTTTCTGTTCCAACACATAGCCTGGGAGAGGGCGCAGCCTCCACACCCACAGTTCCCCTCTCTCTCCCTTCACCATCGCCCACCTGATGCTCCACCTCCACAGTGTTTTTTTTTTCCTGAGATAGAGTCTTGCTCTGTTGCCCAGGCTGCTCTGTTGCCCAGGCTGGAAAGCTGGAGGGCAGTGTCATGAAATTGACTCACTGCAGCCTCCACCTCCAGGGTTGAAGTGATTCTCTGTCTCAGCCTCCAAAGTAGCTGGGATTACAGGTGTGCACCACCACACCTGGCTAATTTTTGTGTTTTTAGTAGAGAGAGGGTTTTCCTCTGTTGGCCAGGCTGGTCTTGAACAACTGACCTCAGGTGATCTGCCCGCCTTACCCTCCCAAAGTGCTGGGATTACAGATGTGAGCCACTGTGCCCGGCCAGCTCCCAAGGTCTTCAGTTTTGGTGCCCACCATTTTTTTTTTGAGACAGAATCTTGCTTTGCTCCCCAGAATAGAGTGCAGTGGCATGATCATAGCTCACAGCAGCCTTTAATTTCCTGGGCTCAAGCAATCCTCCTGCCTCCGCCTCCTGAATAGCTGAGACTACAGGCACAGGTCACCTTGCTCCACTAATTTCTGTAATTTTTGTAGAAAGAGGGGCCTGCTGTGTTGCCCAGGTTGTTCTTGAACTGTTGGGCTCACTTGATCCTCCTGTCTCCACCTGTCAAAGTACTGGGGTCACAGGCTTGAGCCAATACTCCTGGCTATTCCTGGTCTTTTGATGATTTATCAGCATTTCCGTTGGATCTCTGCTGGTCTCTTGCAGAGTGACTGAGCGGCCCCTCCCTCTCCTACAGGTCCTTTGAGATCTGAACCCTGGACTGCAGTCTGGCCGCAGCCCTGAAGCTCCTGGCCTCTCTACTCCCAGCGCTTTGGGAAAGTTCTCTGCCTGGCACAGAAAAGACCCTCCTGATGCCAGCCAATGTAGACACACTCCCTGCAAAGATCCCATTGGAGCTCACCATCCTGGGCACATCACCCACATCCCTTTCTCTGGCTCCTCAGACTTGCATCCCACCATCAAATACCCCTCTACCCCACAGATTCCGAATAAGCACAGTCACCCCAACACTGAGGTCCCTCTGATAGACAACCCCTCCCCAGCCCCCCATTGCCCCATCTCCAGGATCTTCCCCTTCCAAGATGTGACCTCTCTCTCTGTGTTCCTTTCTCTCCATCAGTACCTGCTAGCTATGGTCATAGCATATGTTAGCCGTGCCAGCCTCTTCTCCTGGCAGTACCGACATATTCATTTCTTCCTGGCCCTGTGAGTGGCTTGCTTCCTCCTATTCATCAATGTCCAACACCTTGGGACAGCGGGGGGAAGTGGGATTCCAATCTTTCATTTATTATTTCACCTATTTGTCCTCCTTACTCTGTATTGAAAAGATAGCATTATGCCATGGTGTTTTTAGACTGTTTTATCTAAAAACAAACTCAGGCCAGGTGCAGACTCACGCCTATAATTCCAGCACTTTGGGAGGCTGAGGTGGGCAGATCTCAGCCTGAGGTCAGGAGATCGAGACCAGCCTGGCCAACATGTCGAAACCCTGTCTCTACTACAAATACAAAAATTAGCCACGCACANGGCCAAGGCAGATGGATCACTTGAGGTCAGGAATTTGAGATCAGCCTGGCCAACATAGTGAAACCCCATCTCTACTACAAAAGTACAAAAATTAGCCACGCACAGTGATGTGCACCTGTAATTCCAGCTGCTCCAGACGCTGAGGCAAGACTTGGTTTATGTCTTGTGCAGCTAACCACGTTGAGGACCCAGCATGAGACTTAACCATTAGGAAGTGGGATTACGGATCAGGCTTCTGGACTGGTTTGTGATGTTGTCATATGAGAAACACAGCTAGCATGGTTACAAGTTTAGATCTTAAGTGACACAAAAGGCCCCAGGTGCAATGAAGTCCAAAGCCACATTCTCTGAGGGTGCTCTACTCTCTGGGCAGACCCACCCAAAGTCATGGCTATGAAGCAGATCACTGCGGCTGGCCTTGGGTGTATTAATGTGGGAAGTGAATAACCTACCTATCTAGAAAACTGCCTCCTTGAAGTGTGACATCCTCGCTCTCACTTCCAGAACACTGGGCCCAGGGGAGATGCAGATTTTCAGCAGGAAGCTTATTCCAATGCTAATGGAAGACACTGGGAAGGAAGAGAGGAACCATTTGTGCAGATCATGTGGAAGAACCTAGAAGAACCTGGACTGTTCTAGAAGGAGCTGAATAGAGTGATCATGCTGTCCTCCTAGGAGTGGTGGGTGGGAGGTACTTCTGGGCGTCCATGTAGGACAGTGAGAAACCAGCGGTGTTTCTTGTTCCACCCCTTCCTGCGGCACTACCTCCCTTTTTAGATTGCTGTATTCAACCTCCCTGGGGTGGAACTTGGAGGTCCTGCTTCCTATGGACTTGGTTGCCATAGTCCGGGAGCATTTGAACGCACAGTGCAGGTGCTCAGATTGGCACAGAATTATTTGTAAAATATGAGTGCCACAGGATTGTAACAGATAGCTTCATGCGTACTATGCATTTTGTTGGTTTGTTTGGAAAATGTTGGCCATTGAATTATGAGTACATTTATTTCAGATAGTTTGGAAAGTGTTATACTTTTGAAGACATGCTGTTCCTGTAGAGTTTTTTGATGAGAGTTATAGCTGTTACATATACATAAGTATAATTTTCTTTCCATTTTTAATAAATAATTTTGTTTATCCTAAATCTTTTATTATCTATTATTAGATGTGCTCCTTAAGTAAACACTCTTATCATCTATGATGCTTAGATAATAATCTAGTATATTTATATCTGTTAGGTAGTTCTCATAAATTCTTGTACTAGAAATTTTTATTTGCTGTTTCATGTTTGTTACTGAATTGTGAGAATCCAGTTGTGATTTTTAACATATCTTAGGTCTATATTAATAGGTCTAATATATACTATACATTTTATTGGTTTATTTTGAAAAGGTGGGCATAGAATTCTTACTATATTTATTTTAAATCATTTGGAAATCCTGGTATTTTGAAAAGACATTGTTCCTATAAAGTTGTGTGTTGGGTGTTATAGCTGTTATATACACATAAATATAATTTTGTTTTCTTTTTTAAGAGAGGATTCTTTTTATCCTAAGTCTTTTATCTTTAAATCTTTGTATATATTATTACATGTGGTGCTGAAGGGATGACACTTTTTTTCTATGATACTTAACATATCTATTACCTTTATAGCTACGTGGTAGTTCCCCTAAATTCCTGTAAAAATAAATTTTCATTTGATGTTAAGTGTATGTTTTTGAAATGTGAGAATTCAGATGTGATTTTTTACCTCATATTGACATGTTTATATGTTACTTTAAAGAGGATGTATGTGACAAGCCCTGAGGAGAGATGTGAGGACTCTGGACACTGGGTTCAGAATTGTACTGCTTCCTCACTTGCTCAGTCAGCTATGCTCGCATCCTACACATACGCTGAGCCTGATGCAAAAACTAACACTGTGAAAAAAAAAATGAATACATTAATGTAATTTTGACATTACACTGGCATAGTTCACGTTTTACCAAATGTGTGTCAGCTAATTCGCATTTGAGAGTCTCATATTGTAGCAGAACAGACTTTAAGAGCTAAGAGATTTGTCTCACAGTGTCTTTTAATAAATAGTTAATTCCTTCCTTAAAAAAAAAAAAAAGAGGATGTGTGTTTTAAAGGAGGACATGCACTGTGTGTTTTCAAGAGAACAGTGCAGTGCATGTCTTGGGGACATGTAATAAAGATGAAGTTTTTTCACCTTTACAGAGTATGATAATATTGCTCTGGATTGCTTATTTGCTATCAAGTGACTTTTTTCCTTAATGGGGTTGTGGTTATTTGAACACATTTATTAGCTCTGGAAGATAATCCTGTATTATTTTTCATGTAGAAAAAAACATAAAGCTGGGTGCAATGCTCACACCTATAATCCCAGCACTTTTAAAGTCATGGCAGGAGGATCACTTGACACCAGGAGTTTGAGACCAGCCTGGATAACATAGCATCTACATCTATTTTTTAAAAATATTTTTAAAAAGAAAAAAAAATAGAGGCCAATCCCATGCTAGAGGTTTTTGTTTGTTTTGGTTTTTTTTGAGACGGAGTCTCGCTCTGTCGTTCAGGCTCGAGTGCAGTAGTGCAATCTTGGCTTACTGCAACCTCCACCACCTGTGTTCTAACCATTCTTCTGCCACAGCGTCCCAAGAAGCTGGGACTACAGGTGTGTGCCACCACGCTGAGGTAATGTTTGTATTTTTAGTAGAGACCGGGTTACACCATATTAGCCAGGCTGATCTCAAACTCTGACCTCAAGTGATCCACCCACCCTGGCCTTTCAAATTGTTGGGATTACAGGCATAAGCTACCATGCCCAGCCCCTAAGCTAGAATTTTAAAGCAGGAAATGAGGGAAAGATATTGAGAGAATAAAACCAGGTGGTAAAAAAACTTTAGGTTTTTATTTTTTCGTTTCTAAAGTGGCTCACACCTGTGATTCCAGCAGGAGTTCCAGACCAGCCTGGCCAACATGGTGAAACCCCATCTCTACTAAAAACAGAAAAATTAGCGGGGGATGGTGGCACCCGCCTGTAGTCCTAGCTATTCGGGAGGCTGAGGCAGGAAAATCACTTGATCCTGGAAATTGGAGGTAGCAGTTGAGCAGAGATTGTGCCACTGCACTTCAGCCTGGGTGTCAGAGCGAGACTGTCTTCCAAAAAAAAAAAAAAAAAGGAAAGGAAAGAAAGTTCCTGCAACATTTGAGCCATTAAAGACAGGCACTGTGCCATGCAATTCTTTTTTGTTTTATTTTTTATTTTTGGAGTTGGGGTCTTGCTCTGTCACCCAGGCTGGGATGCAGTGGTGTGGTCATAGCTCACTGTAGCCTCAGACTCAAGCTCAAGTGACCCTCTTACCTTGCCTCCCAAAGTGCTGGGATTACAAGCAGGAGCCATGACAGCTGGCCTGTGTGACACAATTCTGATGTCAACTCCCTGATGTTAATGTCAAATGCCACAGGTTAAGGCCACAAGCCCCCACTAGGCTGCCCACACTTTAGATGCAAGCTGCAAGTTTGGGTGTCCTTAGACCACATGTACTTCTCACCAACTGGCTACAAATTCAAAGGTTCTCACAGTGTCCTCAGGTTTGATAATTTCTCTATAACAACTCAAAGAATTCAGAAAAGCAAGATACTTTTTTTTTTAGATGAAGTCTCACTCTGTTAAGCAAAAGTGCAATGGCACAATCTCAGTTTACTGCAACCTCTGACTCCCAGGTTCAAGCGATTCTATTGCCTCAGTCTCCCGAGTAGCTGGGATTACAGGTGGACGCCATCATACCTGGCTAATTTTTGTATTTTTGGTAGAGAGGGTTTCACTGTGTTGGCCAGGTTGGTCTCGAACTTCCAAACACAGGTGATCTGCCTGCCTCAACTTTCCAAAGTGCTGGGATTACAGGCATGAGCTACTGTGCCCGGCCGAGCACATTTTCATTACAGTTTTATATAAGAAAAACTAACAAAAGTTGACACCAGCCAAAAGCAGAGACACATAGTATAAACTCCGAGAGGGTCCTGAAGATGACATTTCTGCGTCCTCAGGATGCATCATCCTCTCAGCACACTGATGTGTATCACCAACCAGGGAAGGTCACCCTGGCTTCTATGTCCAGGGGTTTTATTACTTTGATGCAATCATTGGCCAGGCAGTTGAGTCCATCTCCAGCCCCCCAGTTCCTTTCTGGAGGTCGGGCTGACATCATGTGGCTCAAAGTCACAACCTTCAAATCACATGGTTGGTCTTTCTGGTGTGGTTGGCCCCCTGGCCAAGTCATCTGGTTAGCATGTACTCAGGTGTGACCCTGGGGCAGCCACCATGAGTAATAGACACACCTATCATTCAAGAAATTCCATGGATTTAGAGGCTGGCTACCTCCAGGAATCGGAGACCAGACCAGAACCAACAGGGAAAAGAAGACCAGGGAAGTGTCAGAACAGCAAAGAAATAAATTCCTTTTTATTTGTGTATATATAATGTATATAAAATATACATTTAATGAATCAATGTATTAAATATGTAGATTTATAAATAGAAATGTCATATTTTCATATAACATATATAAACATCATGCATATTTAGAGAAATATATGTTTCTCCCTTTATTTATGAGTTAAGTTGGAGTTTCACTCTGTCACCCAGGCTGGAATACAGTGGCATGATCTCAGCTCACTGCAACCCAGCAGAACAGGATTGGAGCGCGGGGTTGGGGGAGTGGGGCACGGAGGGGACCCAGGAGGACCGCGGGGGAGGAGGCGGGAGGAGCAGGAAGTGCCCCTGCCGAGCCCCCTCCCGAGGCGAAGTCTGAACCCGGGCAGTGTCCTTTTTTTTTTAAATGTTTATTTTTAATTTTTAAAACATTTTTTGAGACTGGGCTTGGCCATGTTGCCCAGGCTGGAGCGCAGTGGTGCAATCCTAACTTCCGAGCTCAAGCGATCCTCCCGCCGCAGCCTTGCAAGTTAGCTGGGGCCTCCACGCCTGGTTAATTTAAAAAGAAAAAAAATTTTTTTTTTAGATATAGGGTCTCACTACTTTGCCCACGCTGGTCTTGAACTCCTGGCCTCAAGCCATCATTTTATGTTGACCTTCCAAAGCACTGATTACAGGCATGAGCCACCCAGACACTCCTCCCGCTAGTCAGGCCAGAGCGGCTTGCGCTGCACAGAGCTGGACCCGGGGATGGGGAGGAGGAGACAGTTTAGACATCCTGAGGTCAGCTCTGCCAAGGCAGGAATGTACCTTGGCCCCAGACCTGTTTGGGGGCCTAGGAGCTAAGCTCTGCCCTTTCCTTCACAGTCTGGCCCCACCCTGGACATGCAGGTTCTCTCCAGCCTCAAGAACATCTGCCAGGACTGGCAGCTGTGGCATTTTGTCAGCTGGGTGTGGTACAAACGGGAAGTGACCCTGCCGGAGTGGTGGACCCAGGACCTGCACACAAGAGTGGTGCTGAGGATTGGTAGTGTCCACTCCTATGCCATTGTGGTGAGTGTAGCCAGGAACAGGTAGGGCAGGTGGGTGGGCGTGGCTGCTGAACAGCATGGGAGTCCCAGGTGCCCCCCACAGCCTGGTGCCTGGGATGGGACGGTGGGGGGCCCTTCCTTGCTCTGCCCTGGAGGCTGTGCCCTGTGTAGGGGGATAGGTGGCCTACCCTACCCCATTGGGATGCCATTCTTCCCATCTGGCTGGCAGGCCTCAGCTCTATGCTGCAGGTTATGAGGGAGTGCCTGATAGCAGGGCCCCTCCTCATATGCTGACCTGCCACCCCCTCCCCATATCTCCGGTGTCTGCAGTGGGTGAACGTGGTCGATGCGCTAGAGCATGGGGGTTACCTCCCCTTCAAGGCCAACATCAGCAGCCTGGTCCAGGTGGGGCCCCTGCCCTCCCGCCTCCCCGTCACTATTGCCATCAACAACACACTCCCTCCACTCGACCACCAGGGATCATCCGCTACATGACCGACACCTGCAAGTGGGTACCATCCTGCCTCCACCACACACCTGCACCTTCCCGCCCCACCCCATGGTATTCCTGCTAGGGACAGGTTTGCCTTCGCAGAGTGGAGGGGCCTGGATCTGGGGAGGCCACAGACATATGAGCTTAGTTTAAACAACCCACAGCAAGGGTCCAGCAAACCACAATTCTCCCACCCTAGATATCCCAAGGGTTACTTTGTCCAGAACACAGACTTTGACTTCAGTTCAGCGGGACTATAGTGGTCTGAGCGTCTGTTCACGACACCCATCAACTGCATCGATGACATCACCATCACCACCAGCGTGGAGCAAAACAGTGGTGAGGGCTTCCGATAGGATCCTTTCTCAGCGGGGCCCAGGGTTGCTCTGTTTGTTTCCTGTTTGGAAAACTCTCGCAGGAAAAAGGTTCTCTCAGCATCTCTAAACCCTCACAGGTTCCCATCCACCTATGAAGCTAAAATCCAGACTGTCCAAGCAGGCATTGGCTCCCAAAATCACCTGTGTGGTTGACCTGGCTTGGAGAAGAGGGGTCTTGCCTAAGGTCACACAGCTTAGGGTGGCAATCCTGTCCCTTGCCCATGGAGCTGCCCTCACTCCAGCTCCCCCTGGGACACATCGTGCTCAAGGAACAGGCAGCTTACCAGGTACTCCTCGAGGCCCAAGGCCCCAGGCTCCCACCAAATCCCTGAGCAAATAATAAAGTGTTGCCAGTCTGTGGTTTCATGTTGAGCTAATTATATACTCAAGTGCTGCTTAACTGTGTGCCTTGATGATTGCCTGTCCCCATCCTTTCATGACCGCTGATGCCCACATGGCTCATGAGTGAAGGTGTCCCCACCCAAGATGCCCCCTCCCAGGGTGTGCTTCCAGGACTCAGCTCCTGGACAGGGACATTCAGCTATGAGGGATAGGGTGGGACCAGGGCAGGGGCTCTCCTGGCTCCTGATATCTGCTCACCTGACCCCTAGCATTGCTGCCACCTGCTATAGGTGACTGAGAAGTGGGCCCTGGGCACCTTCAGACTCAGTCCCAATGATGAGGACATCCACACAGCCAGCGAGTGCCACCTGAAGGTACGACGCTTGCAGCCCCACTGCTTTCCTGGCCTCCAGTCTCCACCTGGTCCTGGGCCACTTTCAGCATTAGCACCATCATTCTGTTTACTTCGCCATTGGCAGACAGCAGTGGAGACCTCAGGACATGGGCCAGTTGTGGTGGCTCATGCCTATAATCCTAGCACTTGGGGAGGCTGAGGTGGAAAGATCACTTGAGGCCAAGAGTTTGAGACCAGCCTGGGCAAGATAACAAGTTTCCATAACTACAAAAAATTGGAGGAAGAAAAAAAGGGCTAAGCAGAAATGGTGAGAGATTTAGGCAAGACCCGGGGCCCTGGGGTAGAGAGGGAGGTTGGCAGGGCTGATGAACGCTGCCCTGCCTGGATTGACTCCTCTGGGCATATAGACTGTGACCCTGGGCCTCCCTTGACCTCCAAGAGCTCATTGGCAAACTGCTGGGAAGCTGCACACGGGATGCAGTGAGAATGACCAGGTGCCTCTAGCCCCTCCATCTCCCTCCTCCATGCTGTCCCAGCCTTGGGGAGCCCAGGGCGCAGTCAGAGCTCAGCAGGGTCCTGGCTCCCCAGGGAATCAGCTCGTCGGCCTCCCTGAGCGTCACCTCCTGCTTGCACAGGTGGTCACGGACCTTAGACTATGGATGCGGCACCATGCTCTCCGGCCTCCTCTGGGAGCTCATCAGGACCATGGTGCATCCAACAGAGATATGAGTTCCCAAGGGACACCTAGGGGGCAGAGAGAGGTGTGATGGCAGCCTGAACAGCAGACTAAGTGGCAGGGATGAACAGGGTGGGGATGCCAGGCCCTGGGGGACAGGGGTATTGCAGAACTCTGGGATGGAGGCAGAGCAGCCAGGAGTGGGGCATTTCCTGCAGGCCCCAATACTCCCATGCCAGTCTAGCTCAGCAGGCAGGGAAGACTCACCCTTTGTGGGGCCTGGTGTGGTGGCTCACGACTGTAATCCCAGCACTTTGGGAGGCAGAGGCTGGTGGATCACCTGAGGTCAGGAGTTTGAGACCAGCCTGGCCAACATGGTGAAACCCTGTCTCTACTAAAAATACAAAAATTAGCCAGACATGGTGGTGTGCACTTGTAATCATAGCTACTTGGGAGGAGGAGCTGCTGAGGAGTCTCCACGTGTTGTCAGAAACCCCTCCTGTTCGTCAACTCCCTGTGATCCCTGTTTCTCAGACTTGGAGGGAAATAAGGGCACACAAATTGTTACCATGGAGGTGGGGCAAGGCTGCTAGGAGGAACAGGGAGTGTCTGCTACTGAGTTCAGGGTTTCTTTAATTTACTTTTTTTTTTGAGACAGGGTATTGCTCTGTCGCCTAGTCTGGAGTGCAGTGGTGCAATCTCTCCTACCTGCAAACTTTGCCTCCCTGGTTCAAGTGATTCTCGTGCCTCAGCCTCCCAAGTAGCTGGGATTACAGGTGTGTGCCACCACATGCAGCTAATTTTTGTATTTTTTTTCAGTAGAGATGGGTTTTACCATGTTGGCCAGGCTGGTCTCTTGAACTCTTGAGCTCAGGTGATCTACCTGCTTTGGCCTGCCAAAGTGCTGAGATTACAGGTATAAGCTACTGCGCCCAGCCTAAATTTTAAATTTTTAACTGTTTTTTTTTGAGACAGAGTTTTGTTCTTGTCACCCAGGCTGAAGTGCAGTAGCACTTGGCTCAGTGCAACCTCTGCCTCCTGGATTCAAGCAATTCTCCTGCCTCAGCCTCAACAGTAGCTAGGACTACAGGTACGTGCCACGCCCAGCTAATTTCTGTATTTTTTAGTAGAGACAGGGGATTACCATGTTGGCCAAGGTGTTCTCAATCTCCTGATCTTGTGGTCCACCCACGTTGGCCTCCCAAAGTGCTGGGATTACAGGCGTGAGCCACTGTGCCCTGCCACATTTTTTCTTTTTAAATTGTCTTTAGAGACGAGCTCTTGCTCTGTCACCTAGGCTGAAGTGCAGTGGCTCAGTAATAGCTCACTGTAGCCTCAAACTCCTGAACTCAAATGATCCTCCCACCTCAGCTTTCTGAGTAGATAAGACCACAGGTGTGCACCACACCCTGCGAAGTTTTTACATTTTTTGTAGTAATGGGTTCTCACTATGTGGCCCAGTCTGGTTGAACTCCCGGCCTCAAGTGATCCTACCCTCTTGGCATCCCAAAGTGCTGGGATTATAGGCTTGAGCTGCCGTGCCTGGCCTTGAGTACAGAATTTCTTTAGGGGGTGACGAAAATGTTCTAAAATTGGTGATGGATGTACACTAAAGTGTAAACTTCCAATGGGTAAACTGTATGTGAATGATATCTTAGCAAAATTGGTTTATTTAAAACAACAACAGGCTGGGTGAAGTGGCTCATGCCTGTATTCCCAGCACTTTAGGAGGCTGAGATGGGTGGATCATCTGAGGTCAGGAGTTCGAGGCCAGCCTGGCCAACATAGTCAAACCTTGTTTATACTAAAAATACAAAAAAATTAGTAACTTGAATGAGGGGCAGGGCATCCCACTTGCTCTGAGCAGCTCTTTATGAGCCCTGGCTATTTCTGAGGTCCTCAAACGAAACCTCCCAAGTCACACCAGGTCATACCCAACATGGGCCTCCTCCCCTGTTCTAGCCCCCGCTGGGAGATGCTGAGTGACAGAGGCTCAGGCTTTGGGTGTTCCTGGCAAAGCCTCACCCCAGGAGCCCCACAGCTCAGGCCCAGTCCGTGGTTCACACGGCCCCATTTCATCCTTTTTCCTTTGAGAGCAATTTGTCCCTGGGAGATCCTGGATCCCTCATTCAGGTGCAGTGCTGCAGGGCAACACTTCTTCCCAGGAGTGACCCAGTTCTGCAGGGTCCCAGTGTCACCGGGAGGCCTTGACCCAGCCTCCACCCGAGCCCCTGCTCCTCCTCTCCCACAGGGAACATGACGTCCTCTTCCCAGGGTACACCCACCTGCGGAGGGCCCAGCCCCTTCACTGGAGCTGCTGGTTTCTGAGGTGAGCTGGATGAGGTACAGGGGCCATGCTGGAGGGCAGGACCCTGGCTGCCCTGACCCTCCTGCCCCTGGCTTCCCACAGCCACGCCATGGTGCTGACCCTAGACTCTGAGCGGCTGCTGGATGTGTGGAAGCTGATCGGTGTCCTGCCCCTGGGGAGGTGGGTGAGGCTCCAATGCCCTAAGGGCCTGGTGGGGGTGGCTGCTGCATAGCCTTAGGGATTCACACATGAGCTGGGAAGGGCAGAGAGGGATAGAAAATCCGGTTATCTGCTCAGAGGGGGACCCTGCATGGAGCCCCAGCTCTTGCTAAGGTGAGGACGTCCAAGCCAGTGAATGTGTCTGAGCAGGGCTGGAGCTCTTCAGTGAGGCTCCTAGTGAGTCCAGCCCACTGCCCTCAGCCTGACATATGGGGACATGTGTCAGGAGACAAGGGTCCTGCACCCAAGGCTATCCGGTGCTTGGGAATAAGTGTTATAGGGGCATTAGGGGACAAGTGTTGTGCACCCAAGGCAACAGGGCCAGGGAAGAGGCTGAGCTCCAGGCGGTTGTGCTGGCAACTAGGATTTCGTTCTCTTCTGTGTGTGTTTGTGTCTGTCTGTCTGTCTGTCAGGGCTGCCTGACAGGAGCATTGGTCACCATGAATCCCTGTCCCTGCAGCGGGGCCATTTCGGGCAATCTCCTGGGTGTGGATGGAGAACTGCTCTGAGCAGGTCAGATGCCGTGCCCCTCCTCCCTAGGGAGAGTCACACTCAGCACCCGCCAGGACACGCAGACATACCAGAGGGAAGGGGCCTGTGGCCTCTGGTGAAACCATCATTCATTGCCTATGGGCGCTGAGCTTATCCAGGCCAGAGGTCACCCATGGCAGGGGTGCCTGGTACTGAGAGACTCAGGGCTCCTACCTCCCTCCTGAGACTGTACAAAAGATCCCTCCCCCCAGCTCCCACCCCGCCCTGATCCTCTTTCCATGGAGAGGGGCCAGGCAACCTGGTTGGGGGAGAGGAGGCTACTCCCTGTGCTCCAGCCCAGCCCTGCTTCCTCCCAACCCCCGGAACTCAACTTTGGGGCCATCACTATTTACAGCATGGATGTCACCAGTGAGCGTGACTTCGTGGGTGAGTCTGGGGGAGCCAGTCCCCTGCCCCGTGCCTCACTTCTGTCCCCCAGCCCGGCTTCTCTCCAGTCTTCTCCTACCCTTGTATGGTCAGACTGCTTGTGGTGATGATAGTAAACTAAAGTGTAAACTTTAAATAAGTAAATTGGGCGGGGCACCGTGGCTCACACCTATAATCCCAGCACTGACCAACATGGTGAAACCCCATTTCTACTAAGAATACAAAAGTTAACCGGGTGTGATGGTGGGCGCCTGTAGCTACTTGGGAAGCTGAGGCAGGAGAATCGCTTGAACCCAGGAGGCCAAGGTTTCGGTGAACTAAGATCACACCAGTACACTCCAGCCTGGGCGACACGAGTGAAACTTTATCTCCAAAAATAAAATAAAATAAAAATAAATAAATGGGTAGATTGTATGTGAATGATACCTCAGTAAAGCTGGTTTATCTTATTTTTTGTTTTGTTTTGCTCTGTTGCCAGGCTTGAGTGCAGTGGCATGATCTCGGCTCACTGCAACCTTCGCCTCCTGGGTTCAAGTGATTCTGGCTCAGCCTCCCAAGTAGCTGGGACTACTGGTACACGCCACCACACTCAGGTAATATTTTTGTATTTTTAGTAGAGACGGGATTTCACCATGTTGGCCAAGATGGTCTGAATCTCCTGACTTCATGATCTGCCCACCTTGGCCTCCCAAAGTGCTGGGATTACAGGAGTGAGCCACCACACCCAGCCAAAGCTTGTTTATTTAAAACGACAACAATAACAAAAAACAGGCTAGGTGCAGTGGCCCACATTTGTAATTCCAGCACTTTGGGAGGCCAAGGCAGGAAGACTGCTTGAGCCCAGGTGTTTTAGGCCAGCATGGGCAACATAGCAAGACCCCATCTTTACTCAAAATGAAAATTTAGGTTGGGCACAGTGGCTCACACCTCTAATCGAGAACTTTGGGAGGCCAAGGCAGGTAGATCACGAGGTCAAGAGATCAAGACCACCCTGGCCAACATGGTGAAATCCCGTCTCTAATAAAAATAGAAAAATTAGCTGGCCATGATGTCACCTACTCAGGAGGCTGAAGCAGAAGAATCCCTAGAACCTGGGAGGTGGAGACTGCAGTGAGCCGAGATCTCACCACTGCATTCCAGCCTGGCAACAGAACAGACTCAGCCTGAAAAAAAAAGAAAATTTAGGCAGGTCCCCCACACCACCTAATCTCCTCTTACTCCCTGTATGGTCAGGCTGGGTGAGTACCGGAGAGGTCTGGTGACTGGGAACCTTTTCTTTCTCCCAGCTGAGTTCCTGTTCTGGGCTTCATTCTGCATGACCCATCTCAGCAGGATGGCCAGGGATCTCATCCTCTACGGCACCAAGAAATTCAGCTTCGTATAACTCTCAGATACCTACAGGTAAGCCCCGAGCTGCCACTTCCACCTGCCCCTCCCCGCCTGTGTGTTCCCCACCCACCTTAGGCATGGCTTCCTTCCTCCCTGCCCTCCGCCAGACCTGGCCAGTGAGCTGCTGGACCAGCCAAGGGCCCAGCCCCTTCAGTGCCTGCATCTCTGTCCACAGCACCAGAAGCAGCCTGATGCCCCAGAAGAAAAACCCCGACAGCTTGGAGCTGATCTAGAGCAAGGCAGGGTGTGTCTTTGGGCTGGTGAGCAGGGCAGGGAGAAAGGAAGGGTGGATGTGAGGTCCCCAGGGGGCAGGATTCTGGGTCCAGCCCCTGTGCCTCCCTCTTCTTGCAACATGCCATGCTCCTGATGACCCGCAAGGGACTTGCCAGCACCTGCAACAAAGACCTACAGGTGCGAGGCTGTAGACGGTGGCTGGGGGAGGCCTGCCTGCCTACACACCACGTGCCAGTTCCCGGGGCTCTGGCACACCCAGGCAGGGGCCCCCAGGATTGCTGTACCTACTCCCATCCTGTGCACTCAGCCCCATCTGTGGCTGCTTTTGGAGCTCTCAGCCCTTCCTTTGGGTACTGAGTATTCTTCCCATGGAAGGCATTGGGGATGCCTCAGTGCGGGGTGGGGCTGTGGAGACCCTGGGTGCCAAGGGGCTGCTAGGCCCTCACCTCCTGCCATGTATCTCCCAGGAGGACAGGAAAGCTTTGTTTGAAGTGTCAGTCATCATGAGTGCTGTGCTTCAGGTGGCCATTGGCGTCATCTCTACGCTGCAGGCAAGACCACACCCACCTGCCTCTCCTCCCCTAGATCCCAGGCACTGGGGTGGGCTTGCCAGGAGGGTGGCCTTTGGAGGAGGCAAGGTGGGGCCAGAAGACCTGGGCAGGGAAGGAGAGATGTGCTCACTCCTACTCCTGGGGAACAGGGAAGGAACAGAAACTGCTGCCATGCAGTGGAAGTAGATATGAGACTCAAGGGATCTGGGGCCCATCAACTGACCCAACCAGAACCCTTTTAAAAAAGAAAATTTATATAAAAGGTTGGCATGGTGGCTCATGCCTGGAGTCTCACACTTTGGGAGGCTGAGGCAGGTGGAGCACTTGAGTTCAGGATTTTGAGACCAGCCTGGCCAATATGGCGTAATCATGCCTCTTAATAAAAATACAAAAATTAGCTGGGTGTGGTGGCCCACACCTGTAATCCCAACTACGTAGGAGGCTCAGATAGGAGAATTGCTTGAACCCAGGAGATGCAGTGAGCCGAGATCGTGCCACTACATTACAGCCTGGATGACAGAGTGAAACTCCATCTTCAGATATGTAAATTAATTAATTAATTAAATATCTTTTAAAAATTATTTTTTAGAGAGAGGGTCTCTCTTTGTCACCCAGGCTGGAGTGCAATGGTGCGGTCATAGCTCACTGCAACCTCAAACTCCTGGGCTCAAATGGTCCTCCCACTTCGGTCTCCAAAGTAGCTGGGACTACAGGTGTTCACCACCATGCCTGGCTAATTTTTTGATTTTTTTGTAGAGACAGGGTCTTCCTGTGTTGCCTGGTCTGGTCTCAAACTCCTGGCCCCAAGCCATCCTTCCACTTTCATCTCCCAAAGTGCAGGAATCACAGGCGTGAGCCACTTTGCCTGGCTGATTTCTTTTAAAATCAATTATTATGGGAATTTCTGTCTATAACAGCTAGAGAATGCAGAATGAACCCTATGTACTGACACCCAGCTTCAACAATAATCAGCTCACGAACATTCTGGCTTCAGCTGTCTTTACCCACAGCCCAACCCTCCTGTAATCCCAGCACTTTCGGAGGCCAAGGCGGGTAGATCACCTAAGGTCAGGAGTTTGAGGCCAACCTGACCAACATGGTAAAACCCCGTCTCTACTAAAATGCAAAAAAATTATCTGGGCGTGGTGGTACATGCCTCTAGTCCCAGCTACTTGGGAGGCTGAGGCAGGAAAATCACTTGAACCCGGGAGGTGGAGGTTGCCGTGAGCCAAGATCGCACCATTGCACTCCAGCCTGGGCAATAAGAGCTAAACTCTGTAATATTAAGACTGGGCACAGTGTCTCATGCCTGTAATCCTAGCACTTAGGGAGGGCAAGGTCCCACAGCTCGTGGTAGGACCTCCACTCATTAAAGGTACCTGGCGTAACAGAGACTACTGAGTCATTCACCGATGACCAGAAGTGAAATGTGGAGCCCAGACCTTCAAAAGGCTGGGACGGCACTGAAAGGAAAAAGAGGGATAGTGTATGCTATAGACTGAATGTCTCCCTCAAAATTTATGTTGAATCCTAATACCCAATGTAATGGTATCGGAGATGAGGACTTTGTGAGGTGATTACTATCGAGGGAGGCGTCCTCATGAATCGGATTAGTGCCTGGTAAAAGAGGCCCTAGAGTGCTCTCTTACATCTTCTACCACCTGAGAACACAGCAAACAGGCACCATCTAGGAATCAGGAAGCGGGGCTTCCCCAGACAACAAACCTCCTTCCTGAACCTTGACCTTGGGCTTTCAGCCCTCAGAAATGTGAGAAATAAATTTCTGTGGTTTATAAGCCACCCAGTCTATGATATTCTCTTATATCAGCTCAAACAGACTAGAATAATACAGTAGCTTTCCAGGGCAACAGGATCAAGGGCAAGGAGGACTGCCTTTATTTGTTAAAGATGTCAGCAACTGGCCAGGCATGGTGGCTCATGCCAATAATCCCAGCACTTTGAAAAGCCAAGGGGGGCAGATCACCTGAGGTCAGGAGTTTGAGACCAGCCTGACCAAAATGGTGATAACGAAAAAAAAATTAGCTGGTTTTGGTGGTGCACACCTGTAATCCCAGCCACTCAGGAGGCTGTGGTAGGAGAATCACTTGAACCTGGGAGGCAGAGGTTGAAGTGAGTGGAGGTTGCAGTGAGGTGAGATTGTGTCACTGCACTCCAGCCTGGGTAATAGTGACTCCATCTCAAAAAAGATGTCAGCAACTTAAGTATTTTTATAGGCAGGGCAGAGGGGACCAATGAAAAAGAGTAGGACATCCTAATCTGAGGGAAGGGTTTGGCTCAGGAGGGAGGAAGTACACCTCTTCCTTGGATACTGGAAGGGAAGATGTTGCTGATGAAAACTCCAAAGGAAGAAAAGGTCTGTGGAGGATGCTCCATCACTGGGTTTGAGTTTTTTAACAAAATTGGTGATGAAGACATCTGCACAGAATCCGAAAAATAATTAATGCAGCCATGGCACCTTAGGGCGCTAGAAAAGGCACTGCACCTGACCTTCCGGGAAGCTGATCTGAGAGGCATGTGGGACGTCTTGGTGTGGGGATCTGTGTGGAGATGCGTCTGGAGACAGTGAGTCTTACTTCCTGACTTTGTAAACATGCAGCTCAGCAGTCTCTGCGAGTCAGCTCCCTGCAATTTGCTTTCCAGGTATTGCTCTCGGGCGTTAAGACTTCCACAATGGGAAAGATAAAAGAAATACATTTTAATTTGTAAGAAAATGAAGTATTCAAAAATAAAATCACCTGCTCTATCCAGGGTATCATTTGCTTTCCAGCCTGTCTTAGCAGTTACAGAGGATAACTGCTAAGCACACTTGACTCATTCATTTGAAGATTTCATGTAAACACAATTGACAACCCATCTTAAAAAAAATCTTGAGAGAAAAGTATTTAATTTCTTGACTAAATTCAGCTTTCAGAAGGGATCAGTGATTCTGTTGATGGTGATTGAGAAGGTTAATATGTAGATGTTTTCTTGGCATGTGAGAGACATGTTTGTGTTGGTGGGAGCAGCAGGTGTGTGTGGAAGGAGAGCTGGAGTCCCAGGCCACCACACTGCTTGGGCTGGTAACATGTATTTCCCAAGTTCTTCTCTGCCAGGCCGAGTACAATGTGTTGATAACTGACATCTGTGCCTCTATCAAATTAAACCTGAAGTGCCTTTCTCTTTTCATTTCAAATAACTTTGCTCTTTCTTTGCTTATACCATTTAAAGTGAGATTTGTACCAAAGTGTTAAAATGTATTTAGTGTAATCCTTAGTAACATGAATGTATACATTACAATCTTTCATTTAACCATATCTTTAAGTCTTTAGTAACAGTATACTCTTGCACTGGAAATCTTTCAGCTGACTCTTCAATCTTTATCAAGTTTTCAGTTCATTAGTCTGTTTAATCTCTTATGCCACGTTTACACTTCTTATGCCATTTAGATTATCAATTAATAACCATTGAGAAGTATAATTATTATAATTGTTACATTGAAGTCGGAAGAGTGACACATTTAATATTACATTCTCTAAAAAATCTTAAGCTTAATTTCAGGAAAGATTCAGTTTTATTCATATAACTGTGTACAATTAGTCAAAACTCCTCCCACCCCAATCCCTTATCAAAATCAATGTTCATAAACCAACAGGTGAGTTTTTTGTGTGCCCAGCAGATGGCCATGGGCAAGAATGATCACAGGAATAACTCATCCAACCAGCTGGACTGTGGAGATGTTTCTAAATGTTTGATAGAGATCCTGCTATTCACGTAGCTGTGGGGAGTGACTTGGCTAACTGACATCTTTTCTTTAGGAACCATGGAGCACGCAACACATCCCGGTGCTGTTCTCAGTCTTCTGTGGCCTCTTGGTCACCCTTTCCTACCATTTGAGCTGGCAGAGTAGTGACCCATCTGTGTTCATAGGAGTGATCTACGCCTGTGCTGTGTCATCACTGAGCAGGGGGCATGGTTCCCACAGCTTTGTGCCCTGACTGAGGTGGGGAGATGGCAAATCACTGCCCATTGTGATTTGACTCTCATTATTAACCTAGCTGGTCATTCACCAGAGGAGGGCAGGAGAAATACAGGACCAGCCGGAAACTAATAACAGTTAAAAGTGAACATCCAGCAAACATTTTAGCTTTGTTCTTTTGATTTTGGAATAAAATGTACAGTGGCAGGAACACATGGCCAATAGCCCTGTTGTGGCTTTCCCTTGGGTGAGTTGGGTGAGAAGCTACCACCGCAGCAGTACCCTCTCTAGATCCGTTAAGCTGCATCAATGCAATTACTCTAGGCAGTTACCTGTGGAGACTAAACCAGCAACTCTGAAAGGAAAGGGTTTTGTTCTATTTTGTTGTTGCGGTGGTGGTTCTCAATCTGGCCAAGACCCTCTGGATTTAAAGTGAGATTTGCATCGAAGTGTTAAAATGTATTTAATGTGATCCTTAGTGACGTGAATGTATACATTACAATCTTCCCTTTAATCATATCTTTAAGTCTTTGGTAACATGTACTCTGGCACTGGAAATCTTTCAAGTGATGCCAGAGTGAGTTTCAGATACTGACAGTACCGTCTTACGTAATGTGTTTAAATTTATGAAAGATTTTGATTTAAGATAACCATACTCTTGGAGGACCAGAGACACCATAATCTTAGGCTATTAGGTGCGGCAGTATCAAAGGCATGAAAAAGGGAAAAAAGAAAAGTTAAATGGTTCTCACAATTTTTAGTGTCAATTGTGTTACTGCAATGTTCACTTTCTGCTGCTAATTGTTTGTGAAAATGAAGCCTTAGTGGGCTGGCAGAGATGGAGGACCGTTCCCTTGTCCCACTGCTGACAGTAGAGGTGATGATGCTGATGCTGCTAAGGTACTTGACTGCCCTCATTAGGGTGAAATTTACAAATCAAAACACTATCTTTATGATCACTTGAACATGCACCTCTTTTTATTATACATTTTTAAATGAAGAGAGCACTTGCTTTTGTCATGTGTGGGTGTGAGATCTAAGCTGAAGTTATTTACCAAAAGCACTGTCCCAGGAATGTCTTTGATAAAGTAAAACCTATGTGTTTTTCCACTTTCAGGTCCTTATCCAATGCAGACTGTTTCCTAAGTTTTTACATCAAAATCTGGAAGAGTCAGCTCCTGACACTCTTCCCAAGGAAGATGAAAGATTTGATGGTGAGACATTTGCATTGTGTAATGTAGTATAGGAGGACCTTATCTTTTCAGCAGAGCTCAGGCTCTCAATGGGGCTCTAGGCAGGTGGACATGAGAAGGACTAGGACAGAAAGAGACACCTCAGCTTGGTACCTGGCACACTGGGCTTTTGAGCTGCCTGCCAGGTGTAGCCTTTTAGAGCATCTTGATGGTGGCTATTATGCACATATGGCATGGGTGCTTAGGTGGCCCTCAGTTGGCTGCAGTTTGCCAGGATAGTCACATGAATCACATTCAGTCAGTTTTGCCTGTTGCTGGCACCAAACAGCAGATGGGCTCTGCAAAAATGAAAGCTTGTCAGATAAACGTTTAGCCAACCTGCCTTCCTGATGTGGTCCACATACAACTCTTCTCCATAGCTTCTCCCCGCAGCGCCACACTGAATTCAGAGAACTCCGTTTCAAAGTTGATGTCTGCACAGCCATTGCTTGGGGCACTTGGGCTTTAGACTTAAGGCTGGGTCACAGAGAAGCGGGTAACCATACTGTGGGGAGCATGGGAGAAGAAAAGAAGGGAGAGGGAGACAGAAGAGAATCCTACAGCTATAAAATCATGATACCATTTCCTTGTTTACCAGGAAAATGGCTCTGGACAGCTTCAAACTTTTTTTTTCTTTTTTTTTTTTTTTTGAGACAGTGTCTCGCTCTGTTGCCAGGTGCCAGGCTGGAGTGCAGTGGCACGATCTTGGCTGATTGCAACCTCTGCCTCCCGGGTTCAAGCAATTCTGCCTCAGCCTCCCAGGTAGCTGGGACCACAGGCACACACCACCATGCCCAGCTAATTTTTTTGTATTTTTAGTAGAGACACTGTTTCATCATGTTGTCCAGGATGGTCTCAATCTCTCGTGATCTGCCCGCCTCGGCCTCCCAAAGTGCTGGGATTACAGGCTTGAGCCACCGCACCTGGCCCAAACATTCTTTTAGCAAATGTAGTTTCTTTGGTATCAACTTACAAACATTCATACATTGAAAAACAATGCTCATTAATTGTGTAAGCTCCCATACATCTGAGTACTGAGCTTGGAGCTGTCTGATGTCCTTGACTCACACTTTTCCTGGTTTTCTTAGGAATGAGAGATAAAAGGAAAAGGGAATAATCTGTTGACCAAACCAGGACTGTGTCTCATTTGTCTTGATATCCACAGAGCCAATGCATGGTGTTCTAGTGGGTGCTCAGTACAGTTCATGGAATTTAGACGAGTTTAATTGCAAGTCTGCCATTTCAAGGCAATGTAGGGGACTCACAGCCAACATGATAGCCTTTAAAAAAATTCATACTCAGCTTTTGTGCCTTTAAGTGTGGTCACAATTTAAGGTAATACATTAAGGCTTTTTTTCCACCCTAAGGGAATCAAAGGACAAATCACTTAATATCAGTAAGGGCATAGTTTATGAATTTTAAGAGCAGAGATACATTTAAAAGCAAGTTAAAAGTCAAAGCAGCTGGGCCTGATGAGATGGCCGCTAAAAAAAAGAAATATTTGACATAAGCTAGCATCCTCAACCTGACCGCTAATATTTATACTCAGAGACTTACAGGCAGAAGGTCAAACTGACATTCCCACAATACTTTCTGTAAAAGCTGTAGGTTGGTCCAGAGTCTACTCAAAAGTCTCCCCATGGATGTCTGAAAAACTATGCCCTTCAGTCTTCCTTGATTTCATGACTAATGAAGATGCATCTCTACTTTCTGATTTATTGTAGCTAAAAATAATGTACGAATTACAAAGAAATTTGCCCAGCAGAGGTCGATGCTATTTCATTGGTATAATTAGATGTGATGGGTTAGATTTTTGCCTCCCTTGGTTTTCATACCCTTTGAAATGCTTTGTACAGTGTGGAGCGCTAAATCACCTAACACAACTTGTTAGGTGATTTAATAAGATGTTTGTGTTCATTTCTCTGAAAAGTCTCTGGCCTAATTATAATATTTTAATAGCTATATCACATTCAGCTTTTAGAACTTGATATGTGATACCTTCTGCAACACAAGGCAAGCATGACACCCCCTTCCTCGTTGTCTCTGATTGTGTTTCTCTGTATCTCTTTCCACCTCATATGTTCTGTCTTTCTCTTTTCTTAAATTTCAGTTTGTATGAGAAGCCCTTAGGGAGCCTCATTAGATGCCAGTTTTCTAGCCCTCTTTCTCCCATTCTGATTCATTTGGCCTGTCAGAGGGCCTGATGATCTTCATTTTAACAAGAATGTTCACCCAGGTGATTCTGTTTAGGTGGTCCACATATTGTACTTCAAGAAACATTGATCTAGAAACAGAGATATACCAATGGGCCTATACATTTGCCTTTGAGCAAGATAAGTTATGCATACAAAGTTTATCACCCAAATCCATTACTGTATAAAAGATATAAACTTTCTACTAATGGTTTGCCTGGTTAGTCTTTTTCTACATGTCTTATTAGTACAGACGGTAAGTTTTTGTTTGTTTTCTGTTTTTTATTTTTTATTTTTTTGAGAGAGAGTCCCACTTACTCTGTTGCCAGGCTGGAGTGCAGTGGTGTGATGTCTGCTCGCTGCACCTTCTGCCTCCTGGGTTCAAGTGATTTTCCTGCTTCATCCTCCCAAGTAGCTAGGATCATAGGCATGTGCCACCATGCACAGCAAATTTTTTTTTTTTTTTTGAGATGGAGTTTCACTCTTGTTACCCAGGCTGGAGTGCAATGGCGCGATCTCGGCTCACTGCAACCTCCGCCTCCTGGGTTCAGGCAATTCTCCTGCCTCAATCTCCTGAGTAGCTGGGATTACAGGCACGCGCCACCATGCCCAGCTAATGTTTTGAATTTTTAGTAGAGACAGGGTTTCACCATGTTGACCAGGATGGTCTCGATCTCTTGACCTCGTGATCCACTCACCTCGGCCTCCCAAAGTGCTGGGATTACAGGCTTGAGCCACTGTGCCCAGCGCACAGCTAATTTTTTCATTTTTAGTAGAGATGGGGTTTCACTAAGTTGTCCAGGATGGTCTCAATCTCTTGACCTCGTGATCTGCCTACCTCAGCCTCTCAAAGTGCTGGGATTACAGGGGTGAGCCACCACTCGCAGCCCAGACTGCAAGTTCTTAACTTTCACATCTTTATCATTTTCAACTGGAAACACCTCATGGCAGAAATAAACATGAATTCTCTCTAGAAGAATCCCTTATCCAAGTGTTTCCCAAACCAACTTTTTTAGGGAAAATGCAGAGCTTACTATAAAAAATTCTTCAACCTACACATGGAAATAAGGAACCAGCAGAAACAAGTCTATAACTACTTCAGATGTTGGAGGTATCAGACACAGATTTTAAAACAACTATACTTATTCTTAAAGAAGTAAAAGGCAAATTTTAAAATTTATAGACAATAGAAAATATTTAAAACAATCCAGCAGGTTTGAAAGCCAAATAGAATTTTCAGAACAAGCAAACAAGTGGATCAATTGAAATATACACTATACCACCACACCATCCCACACATGGGAGATTAGATACATCTGAAGAGAGAATTAGTGAATTGAAAAATAGAGAAGAAAATATTCAGAACATAACACCAATTGATAAAAAAAATCAAGAAATATGAAAGAGAAATGACTTGAAGGACAGATTGAAAAGATTTAAAATATATCTACTCAGAATCCTCAGAAAAAGAGAGACTGAAACATAATCTATTTGGTGAGATAATATCTCAAAGTTTACC